AAGGGTTTTTTGAACATTACAGCATCTATTCATGTTCTAGTTTGAACCCGAAATACAAAAGATGAAAAGTTGCATACTATGTGTCCTTATTTAAACAAGTACATCTTTAGGGATTAGAGAGAAGTTTATGGCCTGAACTTGACGGCCTTTGATTGTCAGCACATTTACACAATAAAAAAACGGCAAGCAAATCCAAAACAATGGATTGAATCTGAGCCAACCGTATTAAAGCCAGTGACATTTAAGTATCAATCTGCTGAAATGGCAATTCAATTCTGAATATGATCCAATGAAACAGGACCTCACATCTGCCAAACAAATATGATTTCAAGAGGCAGATTAGATCAAAATTGTTCCATCTTGGATGCTATCCAGTGTGCTCCAACATTCATACAAATATATGCACAGCAATGATGGGCAATGAACTCTGAATGTGTAATGTCTGTTCTAGTCCTGAGCTGAACTTTCCAGCTAATATCCGTCTCTTCTTAGCTGTCCTCTCAGTGCAGTGAAGCAGCTGCAACATAAAGGTTTCACCACTTGTCACACTTAAAAAAGAAAAAGGAGAAGCTTCCTTTTCAATTTGGGGCTGCGGCTGCACAGACAGTGTGAACCTGTTAAAAGCTCTGTGTTCAAAAGTTCACATAGCATCTGCTCAACACCTCTGCAGTGGGGGTTGTATTCAACAGATGAGACGGGTATACAAAAAACGAAGTCCTTGGAAAATAATTTCAATGAGGCTTTGAAGGCTGGGCACTGTGCTGTCTTTAGTTTTTAATTATACACCATGAGATAAACGAACATCTGTATTTTTCTGCAATGCAACAAGGCTAAAAGGAATACTACAAGGCTGAGCTGACAAGACAAGGTAAGTAAAAGTATGGTTTAGCTTAGTTTCATGGCCGCACGTTACATTTTTCAGCAGATGTGCCCGGGTGCAGTGGCAGTTAAGGGACTTACGGCTGATCCTGCAGTGATGTACTGTACTCAAGGAGTTCTCAAAGCCCCAGACACATGCGGCAGTGTGTGCTTTAGCTATAGGCACAAGCACTCACGCTGACAGACACCTCCCTTTCTGTTTTAATCCCTTCTACACCTCTTCACCAGATGACAAGAGCTACTTTCCCTATAGACACAGTGAGAAGGAGCCAGGTGAAAAACAATTAAAAAGGCGCTAGTGGGTGGATTTCATTGTTTCCTATCCAGGATGGGCTGTATATAAATGATGGACTGATTTAATGAGTGAGACCATATTCAAACAGTATTTTTGTGTTTTTGCCAGACTGTAATCGTAACATAGGTTTTAACAGATTTGGTCTATAAGTTACAATATGCTTTTGATGTCTGGCTGGGAAATAATGCAGAGATATTGCAGCGTTGACTGTTGGTGCTTTTCCAAAATATCCATAATTATATTGAATAAATAATCAACATTAATGTGGATATAATGACTTAATGGGTAAAGCTAAATCATAGAACAGCTAGAAAAGTCTGGTAACTTCAGGAAATAACATCACTTTACTGTAATACCAGTACATCTCTTAAAACTAGGGATGTCATGCAACATTACAATATCCATAATCTAAGATGAAACAGATGTAATATTTATATATTTCCCAGCACCTTTTTTAATGCTGAAATAAACCCACAGGTACAGTAGCAACCACACATACACATTTAGCGCATTTGTAGCTTTTTGACAAGAAGCAGTTGTTAAATTACAGATTATCCCAGCAATCCTGACAGGGATAAAACTAGTCATACTGTCCTCAAGCGCAAACATCAGCCTCCCACTCCCGGCATCTCTGCATTTAGTACACACACATGAACTCACAAATAAATGGCTTAACACATGAATTCATGGATGTGTACACACAAACACGGAAAGGGAGATGCAGACACACAAACACACCAGCTGCCATGTGCAATAGAGAACCAAGAAGACCAACTCTATTTTACACATCCGCGGGGGGTCAATAACTCATTAGAGCCGAGGTGAGGCAGAGGAGGCTGAGTGAGGTGACGTGGTGTGGGAGGGCTGCTCACCTGAGGATATCTGCATGTCATTGTGTCCAGAGGTCATGAGGACGATTCAGACTTCATTAACAGCATGTCATAAAACATGCCAGGGTGGTACCCACGTCTGAAATAGGGTACCTTGTGTAATTTGCCTGTTTTATTCCTCTCTAACCTTTTTCTGCCTTTCTGGGATTTTTTATTGCTCATCCTATTGGCTTTTTATTTATGACTCTTTTATCGCTTGTCATGAGCTTTGCATCTCGTTGAAATGCTCCATAAAAATGAAGTTTATTATGGGGTTAAACTTCTATCCCAGTAAAGTACAGTACAGAGCCTGTATGATTGTCTTTAAAGGCGTTGTAGGCATTGAAGCATGTATTTGTACTGTAGATGATTCGTTCTGCTCACTTGGTATATCTGGCTTAAACTTACAAGCTTGCTTCAATTATTTCAAATGTTTCGAGATTCTTCATTGATGACCCGAATCAAATGGGGGCTGCCCTTTAACTTCTTACTTAACAAGCCATGGCACGTATCTAGTGAAAGGGACTCATCTGTTTAATCATCTCAATCACTGAACTGGACCTGACTACATAGAGAATACAGAAAACATGCAGCACTGATGGCTGCACCAGTGTACAGTGGACGGACTGTTACTGTCAATGACTGTCAAATTAGAAAAGGATGACTTTCGGTGTGTGCAAGCGTGTTTGTGTTTGTGTGTGTGTGTGTCTGAGCCTCCATGAAAGTCTGCTGAGGGTTTATCAGACAGTTTTTGTGTGTTTGTTTTGGGTGCGTGCATTCGAGTTACAACACTAAGCACACGGACCTGTTTACAAAATGTATCCTGTTACACAACTTAATCCCAGAGCCCTCAGCATTACTTCCGTGGTAAAAGTTTAAAATGTGAGTAGGCCTTATCTGGCTGGACAGAAAAATAGCCTGATGATATATAACTATTATTTCTGGAAGCCTTTATACAGTAAACCATGTCTATATTTTTGTTGACATTAATGCATTTATCATACATCCACATGAGCGGTTTCTATCTTTTAACTGATGTCAACGCAAAACACCACAAAAATGCCGGATGAGTTGTTCAACCTTGTTGAGGACACATGCTAATTACTTGATCCAAAGAGTAAATCCATAAACACACAGACGGTGTAATTAAATCATCTGCACAGCTCTGTGTCAACACCAATCATCTGAAATGACCTTGGAACTTCTTGGAATGGACCGTGTTCATGAAGCATGTCAGCACCTTGAGGGCGTCATTCTGACCATCCCACTACACCTCAGAGCACCACCATATAATATGACTTGTCATACATAATGTATCTGTCAATATACTGTGAAAAGATATAGGCTGAAACTGTGGATTCACATTTATAGGAAAATCATTTAGAAGATTTACAAACCAAAGGCAAATGAAAATATGAGGAATGAGAAATTAAAAAACTGCCATGCTTTTTTATACACTCATAATTCTGAGGCAAATATCATCGTGTTCTGTTCGAAAATCTGAACGTTTTTGAGAATTTGCTTAAATTACAGGATATGTAAATGCTAAATAACCATTTACTAAATAACCACTTTGAATACCTCCTAAATGAAATCACTGTGGCTATCTGTGCCTTGACAAGCTTGCAGCTATGTCTGGCATCACGCTCTGCTGGGACACCTGTGTTTGGTGCCATTTGGCAACCGCTGGAATATTTAAATGCCCTGATGAATACATAGCCCCTGGGCCTGACTGCTCAAACCGAACACTGAGTGTGATCCGCATACACTAATGGAACTTCTGACAGTCCTGTGCATTCATCCTACAAAAACTCACCGTGGAGCCAGAGGGGACCAGAGGCTGGGCGTGAATGGAGTTAACTGGCTGAAGATCTGAGAACAAAAGGCCACAGGTCTGACAAGTGCAACTTCTTATGTGTCCATCAGCGACCACTTATACTGTCAAATCGTCCTTGAGCAAAACACACCACCACTTCTTTTTATTTTGTTGCAAATTGCCTTTTATAAGAGCAACAGCTGGTGTTTTTTAAAACATGTTTAAGATAATTAATCTTAACCCCCATTTGGTTTGGGGCTGGAGGTCTGGGTCAATTATCGAAGAGACCATAGTCTATTTTGTTTAAGCTCAGCAGCTGTGTGTAGTTAACCATGACTCTGAACCCCTCTGTGCTGAGCGGATCTGGAGAAGTGGTACAGCTGAGTGAATCCACTGTAAAACATTTCTGGAAACTGTAACCTGCAGCATACCGGGAAACGAGAAAGATGTTGAAAGCTTTAGAGCTCTCCGTGGAGCTGAAAAACTAAAATGGTTGAAACTGGACTGAAATCTTCTAAAGGTTCAGTGGCAGTGGGCTCATGGAGAACTGAAGTCACAGAATACGCAACAAATGCTCCATGCAGTTTTATAAAATCCCCACGGAGATGGCAGGTCTGTGTTGTGGCACACAAGAGGCATTTCATTGATTATGGTTATTTCTGAAAATGTCAGAGCAATGTAGCCCAACGATGTTGACCTTTTAAGCTGTGTAACTCCATGCAGTAGCATCACAGAACAATGCAATTCAAGAAACAATATTGATCACGATGTGCTGCAGATCTGAAGCCTGTAATATATTTCTGTTATGAAAAACAACAACCAATAAGCCCCAATATTAAGATCAATAATTGTCACCAATAAACCACAAGCTTTGCACCCTGAGAGTCTTATATATCCATCGTAACTCTTCAAACCGAGTCGTTTTAGACTTTTTATTTTTAAAGAGAAAAACGAAGGACATCTTCAAAGGACTTGGTTAATGTGCCGAGAAACCCACACAAAATAACCCATCTTATTTAAAACAATCTATGGTTTGTTTCATGTACTGTATTTTAGATTTTAGAAGTCAAATCGTGAGGGTTCACGGTGTACAGCGGGAGAAAACAAATAAGCAATAACTTGAGCTTCTGGAGATGCCGCCTCCTTTACGCATTGATTAGTCTCCCCAGAGGAGCGGCCGAGGAATTTCTGGGTGCAGATAGGACCACTCCTCTCTCTGAATATGATTTTCTCTCCTCTCTCCACAGTCGGAGCTTGGTGGTGAGGAGGGGGGAGGGTGGTCTTGCAGTCGACGAGAGGAATAGGAGTTTATTGAGGAGTAGCTGCAACGGGAGAAAAACGCATGCAACTGAGCACCGTTGCCTTGCGGATGAAAAGAAGAGAGAGAGGGAGAGAGAAAAAGATCGCGCTTGGACGGCTGACCACTCTCTGCTGAGAAACTGCTGCTCCGTTTGTTTAACTTGTTGATGCGACGATATTCTTCTGTTTTTCCTCTATCGTCTGGCTGCAGTGTTCTCTTCCGAGGATCGCTATTTTGTATTAAACTCGCCGTGGATGCAGTTTAAAGAACAGCCTTCCCTAAGGTGGGTGGTTTTCTTTTACTTTCATTCCTGCTTATTGATGGGTGACGTTTTCCAAAGCCAATTCATATTCTGCCGCAAAGTATGAGCTTCCATAACATGAACAGTTACAGGCTTTGAGAGTGATACTCATCAGTGCTATGCGCATTGCCAGATTAAGTAAATGGGTTTGGGGGTTTTCTTATCACATTCTGTTAAGCCTAGGTGCTCCAAACGCCTAACCACCAGTTTCTATCTGCTGTTCTTCCTGCAGATGCAATTCGTCTCTGAACCATAGCACTGTGATAACCGGAGCAGGGTTATATTAAACACTGTAGGCCAGCATGGCAGCAGGTGTAGCGGCGTGGCTCCCGTTCGCCCGAGCGGCGGCCATAGGATGGATGCCCGTGGCGAGCACCCCTATGCCTATCCCCCCGCAAGAGAAGAAAAAGGGCAAGGACGGACTCATCATCCTCAACGTGAGTGGGACCAAGTTTCAGACGTGGAGAACCACTTTAGAAAGGTACCCGGACACTTTGCTGGGGAGCACTGAGAGAGACTTTTTTTTCCACGACGAAACAAACGAGTACTTTTTCGACCGTGACCCTGACATCTTTAGACACATCCTCAATTTTTACCGCACGGGGAAACTACACTATCCGCGCCAAGAATGCATAGCCGCGTACGACGAGGAGCTGGCTTTCTTTGGTATTATCGCCGAAATCATTGGGGACTGCTGTTATGAGGAGTACAAGGACCGGCGGCGCGAAAACGCAGAGAGGCTCCAAGACGACGAGGAAATGGACCAGAGCAATGACGTCACGCCGGTGAACCTCACGCATCGGGAGTTCCTGTGGCGGGCTTTTGAAAACCCTCACACCAGCACCATGGCGCTGGTCTTCTACTATGTCACAGGCTTCTTCATTGCCATATCAGTGATGGCCAATGTGGTTGAGACAGTTCCATGTGGGGCGATGCCCAACAGAGCAAAAGAGATGTCTTGTGGAGACCGTTACTCCCTGGCTTTCTTTTGTTTGGACACTGCCTGCGTCATGATATTCACAGTTGAGTATCTTCTTCGATTGATAGCAGCTCCCAGCAGGTACAAGTTCATGAAAAGTGTGATGAGCGTCATCGATGTGGTCGCCATCATGCCTTACTACATCGGCCTGGTCATGACGGATAATGACCAGGTGAGCGGTGCTTTCGTCACGCTGAGAGTCTTCCGGGTCTTTCGGATTTTCAAGTTCTCCCGGCACTCTGCGGGGCTTCGCATCCTGGGCTACACCTTGAAGAGCTGCGCCTCCGAGCTGGGCTTCCTACTATTCTCCCTCACCATGGCCATCATTATCTTTGCAACGGTCATGTTTTATGCAGAAAAAGGCTCCACAGCCAGCAAGTTCACCAGTATCCCTGCAGCGTTTTGGTACACCATTGTCACCATGACAACACTGGGGTAGGTGGCTGCATACAAGTCCATAAAACCCTTTAAGCTGTTTCAACTGTCCATAAATCACCGGCTCACAGCTTACTGCCTCCATGAAACATTCATTGTAATAGCCAAACACGCTACGAAACAAGTCCCCGATTATTTAATTACAGTAATCCTATGAATTCATCAACTATTTTTTTATTTTTCTAATTTTTGAGAAGCTGTTGAATTAGCGTACAGAGCCTAATTTTGGGACCATTGTTTAAACTAATTGTGTGCAGCCACAGGTGTGCATTTAGTGGGCATATTAACAGCCTCAAGTGCTGCTCAGCCAACAGTCGGCTTTATAGAGGCTTCCGTGCACCATTCACTGCCTATCAATGAGGCTGCACCTCACAGGCAGCCCTTATCCGAAGGTTAGGCCTCGTCCCTGCCTGTTTTTTAATGGCTTTTATTGGATGGGCTCTTTTGAAAAGGTTGCCGCAGCAAACACATACAGTGTGGCCAGTAAAAAAGACAGTGGAGGATTTGTTTTGTTGTATTTTTCAGTTTTCTTCTGTTTTTTTTATTCCGTGTGAGAGGAAAAACCTTTGGGCCAAAGAAAAAAAGACTCCTAACTGATCAAGATCCTGCATACTGCATTTTCTGGCCAAGGCAGTGATTAAATTAAAGGCAAAGTAGTTTAAAAAATGTATAGATGACACACACACACACACACACACACACACACACACACACACACACACACACACACACACACACACACACACACACACACACACACACACACACACACACACACACACACACACACACACACACACACACACACACACACACACACACACACACACACACACACACACACACACTGCTTCCCCTGCATCTCATTCGTTCATTCTCTCCCTCTTCTCTTTCTTCTTTTAAAGAGTTGCAGTAAACATTTGAATGCTAATGTCGTGCTCATGAACAACATCAGCTGTACAATGTGCTGAAATAATTAAAAGCGGTTAAAACGGTAACATCAAATGAATGTGTATTGATGAGGGCACTCAACCGCTCGGATGCTGGCATGGGTTATTATATTATTCGAGCTATTATTTATTTATTTACTCAACATTCTGGGGCGGTATGCTTTTCAAGGTGCTGAAAAGTTGTTGTCAAAGAGCGACTGGCTGCTATTGGTTTTTATCCGTTCAGATGAATAAAGTGAATGGCATTTGAGTGCCTGAAGTCACGATTATTAAGTCATACAGTGGGAAATAATAATCGTCCCGTTTCTAATTTGTGTGTAAAAATATCCTGGTTGCTTATTTACTCGCTGCTGCACGTATGAGGTTGTACAGCCACTCAGCCAATGTTAGTCCTCAGGCGCAGCTACTCACTGATGACACAGACATTAGATCCTGTTGAAATAATGTTGTCTTTTAATTTCAAAGTCATAACATCACAGATCAAACATTGCAAAACAAACTGCCACTGGCTGTGTGTTAAGTGTGTGTATAAGTGTGTGCATAAGTGTGTGCTTGAGGATGTGTCTGTTCATATTTAAAGTATACATAACATGTGCACTTTTTCTGAATTACTTTTGGTTTAACTGATGCAGGATTGTTCACGCTTATACAAACAGAACTAATTGCCTGCTTGACTTTTCATGTGTTTGATACGGATCCTTCTTGATCTTCTATCTGCATTGATGCAGACACTCGGCACCTGGTACACTTCAGCTCTGCAGGCAACAGATCTTATTATAATTTTGATTATTATTACTTATTATCACAACGTCATCCTCTCGCTATCTGCAGCGGATGACACTGAGTTAGTGGATTCTCTGTCACCTTAATGGCATACAAAGCTTCTCCCTGCACTCACTCAATACCAGTCGAACTACCACTCACCCTCGAAATGACCAATGAGTGCATAATTAGTGATACGCACGATCTGGTGATTGAAGCGCCTCAAACGTAATGCTGCATTGGCTATGCTTTCCATTCACATTCAAAGCACAGATGAGAGATGAGTTGTGTAAGAGGGTACATTATTTATCTTTGGGAAGCAACAAAGATATTGCTGCATTCAGCCCAGGATCCCCTTTGTGTTGCTTAAGATGGATTTGAAAAAGATGCTCTGCCGTGCGAGAGCAAAACTGAAATGTCCTTGGTAATGGGGACGTTTCTGTCACTCTATTGTAAACCATGACAGCCTCTCTGACAGATTTGCAACCTCAACTGAAGCCTTGCAGTGGTGCAGAATGCTGCATAGTGGACCACCGGTGGAGAGGCTGAATACCTATCACTGAAAGACAAAGTCGGCTCCTTCTCATGATCTATCATTGTCTTGAGGTGTGCTTTTTAAAAAACACATACAATCCTACAGTCGAGCTGATTTGTGGTTGTCATTGTCTGCTGAAGACACTGAAGTGAGGGAAATATCTATTGTTGTACTCTCCTCCAGTAACCTTCAAATGCTTATCTGGTCAGGGTAAATGAGGTACTCTGATAGTTTGTTTCAGATCTCAGAATGCAGAAAAAATTGATCCAGGTCTAGCAAATAGTTATTTCTGCAAGATATGGATGGGGTATAGTCGTGTAATTCGGTTGCAAATAAGCTCTAGAGGGGGTGCTGCTGGCTGTATCCATCTGGGGCTTTTGATTTCATTCTGATAGTCAATGATGCCTTATGCCTGCATGGTATCATGATGCCTTTCCACTACATATATTTTCAATTTCCCTGACTCCCACCCTGAGGAAGTAAAGACAGTGGCGTGCATTCTGTTTCCCGCTGATGGCCCATTGATTGTGCTTAAGCAGACGTGCAGACATTGGGAAAGCAGGGGCTCCTGTTCAGAGGCACTTGGCAGGCAGCCTGAATGAAAAGGAAGGGTGCCTTGAGACTAGCGGAGAATCAATAGCACTGTGCAGCTGCGTGTCACGCCTCTGCGTGTCTACAGCTCTGTGCCACCAAACACAGGACAAGACCCACTTATCCCTCCTTATTTATTGAGTCTAATCTCGGTGGCTGCTTTCGAATACCTGACAAAGAGGAATCTGCCTCTGTCAGAACGCTCCTGCCAAGGTCCTAGCTGTGAAAAATATGCGATTGTTATCTGTGTTGTGCAAAAATCTTGTAAACTGCTCTCAGGTCTGAGTGTATGATTTTGTAACTTGATGTACTATTGTCCAGTTAAGGCAGCAATATATTCCATTATAAAGAGAGCATTCAACTTTATCAGGCTGGAATCAGACTGCAGTTTTTTCTTGCTCTTGTTTTTTCTAGATGATCCACACCGTCAGGGTGAATTAGTTGTAGAGGGACTTTTTGGTGCTTCAGATCTTTTAAGTGATTTAAGGTGTAATGGAGTGCACTGCTGAGAGCAGCTGTGAAAACGGTGGAAGTCAAGCGCAACCCACAAGGGAAGGGGAGTGGGGAGGACAGGGTTTAGTGTGCCACACTCACGTTACTCTGGACACAAACTGACATTACCTCTGACAATCAGAATGAGCCTCCACAACAAACACACGCTTTTCTCCCAATCCTCATATCAATATTTTCATATGCTGCTTCTGAATAATGCTAAGAAAAACAATTTTAAATTACGCATTTGTTGTGGTGTTTACTATGTGCTTTGTTCGCTGCTGCAACAAACACATGTACATTGTTGACACTCAACAGATGCAAAATGTATCACCGTGTCGTTTGTCTGTGCTACAGCTCCACCCACCAAATACGACTGAAAAGGCTTGACAGCTGAGCCCTATAAACCTCTCAAGGTAGGATTTACAAGACAGAGGAGGCAAGGTTAACAGACTTGGGGGTCAGTGTTGGGCCCATAAACCACAGCAAGTGTAACCATTATCATGCTGCCAGTGTTGACACCTCAACCCCATTGCAATCAAAGCCTACAATGCAAATCATTAGCGTAATGCTTCGATGTGGTGCAGAACAAAGCTTTTTGAAGGCCTTTACCACATGTCAAATGTAATTGAAATGTACAGGGACAATCTGCAGGGCCTTTACTGCATCTGTATCGTTGAGATAACAAATGCATTTTTGATGATATACAGTAGTAGGCATGTGGTTTGATAAGTTACAATCCCCCTCGCAGCCAATGCAGAGGATTTTCACTCAGTTTTTTTTTTCAACTGAGCACGACAGTCAGCGAGAACATTTGGTGTACTGATGATGATGATGTACTGCAAAGGGTGTCATTTTTGTGTTCAGCGGAATACATTACACCACTTGGCATTGTGTATGTTGTGCACATTATGAAAATCAGCAATCCATTATGTGATGAATTAAGTGGCTGATGTGGGATATGTAGGCTGCCATTAGCCTGTAGGCCTATAGTGCCTCTCCAGGTGCTTTATTGGGAAAGAGAGGTGATGCTAATATGAGCCTGGTATAATGGTGCTGAAGTGACAGGTGACTTAATGAGGAAAACCTGGCACTGAAATATGTTATGTGCTGGCTCCTTTCTGCCCATGCAAATGACTTTGAAATGGAGGAGTGAGAGCGAGGGGCGGGAACAGGCAGTCTTCTTCAGAGCAGATTAGGATCATTGTGAAAGACAGAATCTGTGAAAAACAAAACAAAGATGCTCTTTTTTCTGCTAAATTGAAAATACGCAAGCCACTGCATTCCTTTTATTCTCTTTGTTTTCATCACACTGAGGCAGCTTCTCACTGGCAGCTAGAGATTTAAAAGGGTGTTATGGAGGTGTGGGTTGAATGATTTATTAACATTTGATAGGGATTCATAAATTACATATTTATTACATCATATTTATGTACTCTAATAGGTAGAAACTTCAAGACTCTGCAGCTTACATTATATTTTAATGATAGTATATACTGTATAATAATACTTTGGCAAAAAGAAAATGCATTTGTGGTCGGTCAACCCTGAACTGAAAACTGATTATGTCCAGCTGGTAGGTTGATGTGAGGATACTGTCTATGTGAACTGACTCTAAAAGCAGGCATGCGTCACTGCAGATGGTCAGATTGATAAATAATCTATATGGCAAGGACAAAATGGCTGTCCCTCCATTTGATTCGATTTCTTTGACAACCCATCTTCCAGGCAGCACCAATAACACTCGTTGCGTGCGGGGTTTTTCATTAATTCACTTTGAATGTGCTGCATTAAGCGGGGAAATAGACTAGCATGTTCTGCACTCGGGGCCTGGGTAACGTAGTGTGAGGACATAAAATATGGCATCAGTGTTTTTCCCACCGCTCAGCATTTTCATCGTCAAAGATTAATGGATTTTCCTAGAACAAGATGAAAGTTACTCTGAATGAATGCAGCATCAGTGCATTAGGAAATAAGGAGATACACTGTATGTGAGAAAACACATCACCTCGATTTCATTGTTGTTAGAAAGTGTTTGTTCTGCCTGGCTCCACTTCCCTCCAATCTAACAGTCCAGGGACCCTGACCCCGGTTGAGAGAATGACTGAAATGGGAAAATATTGCCTATTACAGTATGTGTCCTATCGTGGAATTTGATATGTTGGAAAAGATAACGGATGTACGCCATGAGATCTGTGGATCAAATGGTGTTCAAATGATAAACCCAAGCCCATCTCCTACTCTGGTGCGACGTGGCTTATTTACATACCTAGCATTTACATACATGGAAATGGCTGGTCTGGTCATGGATATTGGTATGCAGACACGC